TTCATACTTGATTGAAAGAAAGACGTACTTTAATCCAAGGTATAGTTTAATCCAAGGTATAGTTTAATCCAAGGTATAGTTTAATCCAAGGTATAGTTTAATCCAGGGTATAGTTTAACCCAGGGTATAGTTTAAGCCAGGGTATAGTTTAATCCAGGGTATAGTTTAACCCAGGGTATAGTTTAATCCAGGGTATAGTTTAATCCAGGGTATAGTTTAACCCAGGGTATAGGATTGTGGAATGGTCTGGAAGATGATCTTAAGAATGCCAGATCAATTTATATATTTAGGAGACAGATAAAAGCTAGTTTTTTAAAGAAATATGAAAAGTAAAATGTGAAGCTATTTGATTTGTTGAGTTGATGTTTTTATGTCGTTGTTGTTTTTATTTTTGTTTTATTTTTTTATTTTACTGTATGTTATTTAGTATTGTTTTGTAAATTATGTTTTGTTTGAATATATTCTGGGTTGAAAAGGGGCAGACATAAAATTTATTCTTCTTCTGCTACCTTTCATTTTATTTTGATTTGTTTATCTTTTTGGTTTGTTTATATTATTGTATATAGTATTTTTGATGAAATTAATACAATTTTGAATTGAATTGAAAATTGACCCCAAATGTCACTAGACTTGGTGATTTTTCTTCTTATTTTATAAAAAATAAAAATCAACAGTTATTAATTCATTAAGTTTTGTGTGACACAAACACACATATTTTAGAATTGTTAAAGAACTGCAGAACAAATGTGTGCCTGGTTAAAGAGTGTGTGAGCAGTGATCACACACATCAGTTGTGTTTAAACACAAAAAGCAGCACACCTCTGGGTAAGGGAAGCAACCTGTTTTCTAGGATCTCCCTGGCATCAGTTCCTTCATCCATCAAGTCCAGCTTTGTGATGACACCAATGGTGCGCTGGCCTGTGAGAACACAAGAAATATTAGGTTTGTCTTATTAAGAGTGGAAGTTTAAGTGAATACTTTCATGAAAACGTTAAAGTATTTATGCTGAACCAAACTCTCCTTTATGTAACTTTAAGGGTTTCTTTCTATCTTGAATGAAGTGACTTTTAGCACACACAGTTTTCCCTCACAGATAGGCCCACACATGCTGACGTGCTCTGTTCCATCAGAACTGTTTCTGCTCAGGCACAAATGGTTTCCCTCCAGTTTCAGTCATCCTCCTTACACTCAGGTTTCTTCTGCGAAACTTCAACTCTCAAATTTCCAGAGTTCGTTTTAACAAAGTTGTGAAACAATCCTGTCAAACTTCCCCCCACCAATAAAAAGCCAGGCTGACCAATAAAATCACTGCCACTTCCTTTTGGTGTGACCACATTACTTCACTGAGGCCAGTCTAAATCAGAATAAGCTCACCGTCTTTATTCGTAACTTTCTGCAGGGGTGACCTGAGTTAGCCTCAGTTTATTACATGTGTGTGTTCAGCCGGGCTGAGCTCAGCCAATCAGTAAGTGTCTGCAGGGGATTCTGGGAGGTAAAGAGTGCAGTCACAAGGAGAACCTATCTATCAGCTGAAGAACAATTGACAGAGTGGTTTTACTATATTTAAAATAAATAAAATTTAAAAATTAAAAATACAAAAAATAATTAAAAAATTAAAATTTAAAAAAGAATTAAAGAAGAATTAAAAAAGACAGGGTGGTTTTACTATATTTAAAATAAATAAAATTTAAAAATTAAAA